TTTTTTATTCGGTTTATTTAGGAGGTATCAGGAGCTCTGAAGATTTAGCGATCTTAGTTGCTCGGGGGCAGTGTTCGTTTTCGGGTTACTTCCGCCAACTGACCAGTTCGGTCGGGCGCCCGGGCGCCCCGCCCTACCCCCCCCCCCCCCCCCCGCGGGGGGGGGGGGTGTCTACGGTATCCTTTTTGGGCTAGAATTTCTCCTATTGCTTCTGTTGACGAAAGTCTTGACTCTACTTCTTTTTCCTTTTCAAAAGAGAATTCGTCTTTGGTTTTGAATTATCGTGGGTAAGGGCAACACACACACACACACACATACACGCACCCGCACCCAAACTAGACCCTTACCATGTCAGTCGGTGGCCCTTGTCTTTGGTTGCCTTCTTTATCTTCGCCAGTTCATTCGCCCCTTTCTGCGGTTTCATCTCATCTATCAGCCCGCAATAGCGAGAGACTCTCTTTAGGGCCTAGGACTATCTCACCACGGCTATCTGCGCAGAAGAAAGAGGAGCCTGCCGTTCCTGTTCCTGTGCACGTTCCCGCTCGTCCTGTGGAGATGCAGCCGACTGGTTATAAGGCTGAAAACGCCTTGAATAACCCGGCGGCACAGCCCGTCAGCATGGGCTCAGCGCCGTACTTGGAGAGAGATGTTTCACAGGATACGGTCAACCACCGCTTGGAGGCGGCGAAACAGGATATGCTTCCGCGTGTTAAATTGGAGATCCCAAGTTTGAATCAGCGGGGCTTTTTGGCTGTTCAGCCCCTGGTCGGGCACGGCGGTCATCCCGAGGAAATGGGTATTTCATCGTTTTCGGGCTCGCATGACCAGAGAGACGACCACGACAGAGAATCGACAATCAGTCCTGATGACGATAAGGATATGATGGGTAGCGATGACAATAGATCGCCTTCGATGGAGAAGAAGAAGATGAAGCGTTTTCGGTATGGAATTTCTTATCTTCCAAGTACCACGCATGGTTGCTGACAGAACTATAGATTAACACATAACCAAACCCGATTTCTGATGAGTGAGTTCACTCGCCAGGCACATCCCGATGCAGCCCATCGAGAACGTCTGTCGAGGGAAATCCCTGGGTTGACCCCGCGTCAAGTGCAAGTCTGGTTCCAAAATAGGTAGGGTGATCAACTAGTTGAATCGTCTGTCCTTGACTAACGTAGGTGTACTGTCAGGCGAGCAAAGCTCAAGCGTCTCACTACGAATGATCGGGAGAGAATGCTCAAATCTCGAGCCCTTCCTGACGATTTCGATACCACAAAAGTTCTCCGCACGCCCTTTGAGGGCAAACAATCAGGTATCACGCCAGTGGCATCTCCACAAGGCTATGGCGTTCCGAATCCGGATTTCGGGGCTTTGAGAACACTGCGTACCGATTGCTACGCTCGACCAAATGAAGACGACTATCTCGTCTCACCTCTCAGCTCTGCATCGACAGCAGGAACCTACATGTCCTCGACTGGACGAAACGACAGCATGTCTCAGTCGAACATGATGTTCCGTCCTGCTGCGTCTTCCTCCATGTCCGATTTACATAGAACCATCCGCAACGATTACCCGGTCACCAGGTCAAGTAGCTTGTCCGATGCATCGGCCCATCCATCGCCGTATGCGGGGTATCCTATGCACAATCGTTTCGCGGGGCCACAGCCAAATCAGCCAGCTCTACCCTATATGAGACGACCCATAGAATATGCCATGCCTCGTCATCCAGGCATGGGACCTTATGATCAACATCAACCGTTTGAGGGCTCGGTGTCACCGACAGACACTCAAGGCTCACATCTTACTTATGACATAAACAATCTAGGTTAGTATCTTTTTCCTTGCCTCGACATTCTCCAACCCGATTTCCTAACATGGTTTTATACAGGCCCGCAACAACAGGGCTACAATCTTGGAATGGGCTCTCAATTACCACCCCAAGGCCGACCTATAGCCACCATGCAGAACCTGCCAGTCTCGGCAGCACAAAATTATCGGCCCTATTCCTACGACGCCACCGCAGGCCCAATGGGTACACCAATTCCTTACACACAAGCAAATACCTCGACTCTGAGTCTCCCAACTTCCGAGCCATCATACAACTACCCCAACTATATCCAGCAGTGAGAGGGGAGTAAGACATCCTTGAAAAAAGTCGGCTGTTACTTGTCTGCTATACGACATGCTCGTTTTGCTTTCCGCATTTTCTCCTTCGTCTCCATCTCATCACCTCCACCTTTTGGTTAACTGGTTAGCTGGGTTAACCAAGGATCCGCGATCTATATCAGCGAGTATTAATCATTAATCGTTCTCATAGCGTTCACCGTTTCTGGTTTCTGGGTTTCTTCTTTGTCCTGTGTTATCAACCATATTTTTAAAATCTGTTTCTTGCATGCATCTACGTTTCGTTTGTTTTCATATCATCTTTCCGTTTTGTCGCGTTTCTTTGGGTCTGGTCTGGTCTGGAATCTAGCGTTCATTGTCTGGGGGACAGTTTGTCTAATATTAATTGTTTCTGATCTCGCTGCATAGCCTCGGGGTGGAAGGTCAAAATGGTATAGAGATGCCACTGTGTTTAGAAGCAGACAGACCACTGAGTCTACAATTCACTTGAACCAATAAACCAAGTTGTCCTCGACAATTCTCTACTTTCATCTACTTTCATGCCGCCGTAAACAATCCAATACTCGACAAATTATGTAAGGTCGTAGCTCCAATTAAGCAGTTCCAACCTCCCCACACTAACCTTACAAGTACAACCCAGCAACATAGGTCATCCAAATCCTGCCTGTCGAATCAGAGTCAAGACAAAAGTAATCAAATTCTTCTTGTCTCAGCTCATCCACCATCAGGCCACATCGTCCCGCCACTCAAGCGACGTCTATTTGCTGTTTTCCGCAATGGGCCAATCAGCGTCCACGAAAGATAACACTGTACCACGTGACACCCACTCTCACAGCCAATCAAGGTTCAGCTATTGATAATCACCACTCATCCTCTGACGCATGCAGAACAGTATAAAGGAACTCGTAAAAGCAGAGTGTTATTTTCTTTCTCTCACACACTCTCATCTTGACTCAAAGCAATATCATTTCGAAGGAATCCATCCATCAATCTTGCAAACTCACAAACTCACAAGTTCCTCAACTTCATCTTACCTCTCGATCTTCAGAAACCGACGTCATATCAAATCAACCCGCCAAAATGGTCCACCCCACTACCACCTGCTGCAAGACCACACAGGACGGCTCCTGCGTCTGCGCCGCTCAGGCTAAGTGCTCATGTGGCCAGCAGAGCGCCCTCCACTGCAGCTGCAACAAGGCTTCCTCTGAGAACACTATCTCTGGTCCCCGCTGCTCATGCCGTATGTGATTTCCCTACTCTAGTGATTTAGAATAAACTTTATACTAACATTGAAATAGGCACTCGCCCAGCTGGCCAATGCACCTGTGAGCGAGCGGTCACTGAGAACCAGGCTGTTTCTGGTGAGACCTGTGCCTGTGGCAGCCGTCCTCAGGGTGAGTTTTCTCCTACTACGAATGCGATTCGTGTTATTCAATGAATATCCTGCTAACTTCGGCTTTAGCTTCTTGTACCTGTGAGAAGGCTGCTGCTATTGATTCCGCCCTTGAGGTTGACTTCACTGGCAGTGCTTAAGTGACTTGATTCACTTGTACTTTTTGCTTTGATGGGGTTCCCTATCATTGAAAATTGCATTTTTTTCCCCGTCTTGATGGGGTGGCGTCTTGGGCTTGGGCATTTTTACTGGGTGAGGTTGCTTAGGGTTATCAATAACTGCTGGATGAGATACGAGATGCAAATTTAATACTATTCACGGCCTACTACAATATACAGAGAATAAGTTATCACGAGTAACAACAGGTTATATTCAATGCGCCAAAGCTGTAAAATGGGCTTGGGTGGCTTCGAAACGGGAATATACATACTTCTTAAAATAGACCTACGTACTTGATTTCCTCTGCCACTTCTTGGCTATCCCTTTCCGTTTTAGTGCTCAGGCTTTGCCGCTTTTGCTCACTGAGTAGAACTGAGCATCACCCGATCATTACATAAGCCATATGACTCGCTCACTGAGCGTCACCTAAGCGCTCTGATTTGCTCACTGAGCACCACCTGATTATTACATAAGCTCAAGACTTGCTCCTTGCTCACCGGAGCAAAGCACAGGGAGCAGCTAAGTCAGCAGCTCACCTCAATAAAATGCACCACGCTAGCCCCATCCAAACGCAGTCGTTCACCCGGCACTCTTGACCGTTGTCCCCTCAACGAAAGGCTGGTGTCATCAATTTGGCGGTCGATCCTGGTTGTTACGCCTCTACCTAGAAGGCAAATGCACAGTGGGGCCACATTATTAGCTTTACTATTCTGCGCCTATACCACTATTCAACCTCGCCGAGCTCTATATAGTTGCGGAAAATACCCAACCCTCCATTTTTGGTTCTACAATATCTAGGAATATCTTAGAAAACCCTAGTTAGAGGTTTATAAATCTAGTTTAGTGTTTTATTCTGATTTTTTTTAGTTGATTTTTTAACGGACTATCGCTCTTGCTCCCGACTGCTTACTCCTAGGAATACGACTTCAGCTCTAGTGATAGATATCCGCAAAAATATTCTAGACCTATTGATTATACCTACTGTATGATCTAGCCGCCTATAACGAAATTTGCGGCCCCTCATTTATCTAAAATATTCTAACTAGCAATCAGAAAATACCTCATTCTAACTAAAGTCTGATAGGACTTCCTAGGAGCTCTCAGACATTTCGTGCCACCACGATATGATTGGTGAGATAATATAGATCCTAGGAGCTTAAGTACTGGTACCCACTCGCGAGAGCCGTGAGTGCTAAAGCTAAGAGTCAAAGTATATAAAAGAAACACTGATCCCTCCTAGAGTGAACATATCCAAGTTTCAAGCATTTCTACTCAAGGTCTTATGAAGTCTGCTTATAAGTTCAGCAGCCTTCAGTATCCTGGGTCTGTCTCTTGTCAGCCCCTTAGCAAGAGCAAAAGCCTAACTATTATACAGATTGTCTGATGCCACAAAGAAAACCGATAACCTGGTCGATATTCAAGATCTCCTATTCGATGAGAGTTGCAGGACCGTTTCCTGCATAATCCTGAGCTCTGAGTTTGTTATATATGGCCGAGGCCTAAATGGAAAGATGTAAGTGACTCTCGCAATTTTACCAGTGGGAGCGCGAGAATTTGCAGGGGGCCTGTGGCTAATGTGACTATATATTATCCGTCATGCCACGATAATCGAGAGCCTCGCGTACCAGTTTTCAGTCTGTGTCATTCTACTCTGACTTATAGGCATCATTTTGCCCCCTGGCCCTAGCTTGTCCGACCATGCTTCTTCCTGTCGTAGGACCTAAAAGCCTTCAATCGAGTCATGGTAATTGAGAAAATCAGAAGAGCTTATCTATTGAAGCGAAGACGTGGCATCCCGGTTTGTTGACCTATTTAGACTTGACGAGACAACCAAAAGGCCGTTTTCTATTCGCTGCCCCTCAGTGTTCCGGCTTCATATTGCAGACCTGGATAAAAGTCTCTAGAACTGACAAGACACCCGCTAGTTATCTTGTTATATTTCCTATGTTTGCCAGGTCGATGCTGTTGGATTACACTGTTTTGATTTGAGGTTCGTGCAAATTAGGACCCAAGTTGCATCGTCGAAATTAATTATGCACTAACTTAGAAGGAGAGAGAGAGAGATGAATGATCTATGAAATAGTAGGGTATTTATACCCTGTAGATGTAGCAAAAAAACAAGAATACTAGTCGGCCGGCAGTATTTTCAGTAATTTTTCCAGTTGGTCTTCTCAAAGTGTTTTTTTACCTACTAAGCCTAATCAGGAATTTTCTGCAACTTTATATCTATATTCAAAGGATAACATTGAACCTTGCATCCTATTCTTCTTCTCCATTCATTCCAAGTTTCAGTCTCACTACTTTGTTCTTCTTAATTCATTCTAAGTTTCAATCTCACTTCTTTGAATCTCATTATATTCGATTTATCTTCTTCAAACTTACCCACCATGTCCCTCCAAGCCATTCCCGAACATCATCCAGATCTCCCATCCGGTCCTGGTGTTTTCACACTAGAACAGATACGATGCCTTGAAGAGGCTGCAATCCTCCTTCCCGAGCCTCAGCCGAATACATCCACAAACGCCAGTGGTAAAAGAAAAATTTCCGCTGCATTCAGTGCACCAAGATCTATGTCAAGCTCATCCACCACCTCGTCGTCGTCTTCTGCGTCTGTTGCCACCCATGGTTTCCAGCCCAATGTCATCCGAACCTTCGACATCCCAATGGCAGAAGAAAGTGTCGAGGTGCTTGAGTATATTGGGTTCGTACCGGATGTTGCCAGACTGATCTGTGACCGATATTGCGGCCGCCCAAGTCCAAGCCAAAATCCTGATGACCTAATGGCATATGTCACTGCACATCTCGCCTCTCTTAGCCGACGACAATACGATAACATGAGCCATCAGGAGGCGCTCGCTGATGTTGGTCTTACGCACCAAATTCAAGGAGCAATCACGGACCCGAGATTCTCACACATCTTCGGTACCCAGACCCTCACTTACTGGGCACAAGATACCGTTGAAACCAACTATGCCGCTCTTCTTCGTCAACAGCAACTGCTACAAAGTCATGCAAACAAGCGCATAGCTCATAAAAAGAAACATAAGCGGCCCAGGCATGAGCCGAGCCGAGAAGACCAAGACCCATCTGAGCAGCAACCCGTGACCGCAACGATCAACATGACACCCCAAGATTTCCAGTTCCCAGACACATATGTGATGGTTCAGCCTGATGCCAATATCCTCGCCGATCACATTTCTTTATACAAGGGCAAGGCATATGATGAATTAGGGCCAGCGGGTGATATCATTGAGAGTGATGGAACAGTCAACCTAAGACCACTCAGCACATACCCCGGCGGAGACTTCAATTTCGATTTTAATGCGCAATACTGGACCCCCGAAATTGAAACGGCTGAAGAGTACCGCAAATTTGCAGAAAGGAGAAGCCCTGCAGCCGATACCTGCATTATTCACATTCAGGTTCAGCGACCATTCATCAACAGCCTCCGAATGGAGAATCTATGGTATTCTCCCAACTGGAAAGAGTACATCTGGACTTGCAGGAGACAGGCTACCCCTCACCCGAAATTCGACCACCTCTGGCGACCTGGGCAAGCTAATATTGTCAGGGGCCCCATCTGTTCTACCCTCAGCACACAGCTAGTCCGCATCCGCAGAGAAAACATCCAAAGTCATATCACTGAGGACAACGTGATGCGATTGCTGTCTGGGAGAAAGGCCACTCGGTGGGTATTCGTTCAACGCGATGTGATTGATCGGTTAGCAGAACACATTCGAGGGAAGATGCATTTCATCATTTTCGAAGCCGCAGTTCGTTTCTCATGACATCGGTCTAGGGCCCACTTTCCGCTTTGATTGCAGCCGTTTTTCGGGTCGTTCTTTATTTATCTGTTGACATGTTTCTATCTCGAAAAATATCACCCTCTATGGTGAAAATTTACTCAGTGAGCCTGACTCTGAGCGCCCTCGTAAAAGCGGCGGCAGCTAAGATAGGAAAGCCCCGCCCGGCAGAGGAAAAATGGTACGTATAGCTACTTAGGTACAACGTGTCGAGCCTCAAAGCTTGTTTGCAATGGGAAGATGCAGATTTTTAAAACAACTATAATCCGGCCTCTTGCCCAGTGTTTTTGCTTTGGATTTCCACATGGAATCAGTCTGTCCAGACAAATAAATAACTACAATCTATTCCGTACACACACTTACACCTGCCATTTGCACCGCCACATCGGATCAGTATTCCTCCGTCGCCACATACCGCCACAGCGGAACCGGGCTGATCGACAGCGGAAGTGACCCAAATGAAATACAGAGCGGACAAGTTACGGGGATGGACTCATCTCGACTTCGCGTGCTGCCCGGCTCATTTATCATAGGATCTCTAATTTGAGCGCTATTTTGTATGTTGTCGCGGTTCAATCGGATAGCTCCGGTCCCCCACCAACCAACCAGTGCTGACAAGCTCCCCAGAATTCAAATCCCTCAACACAACACCCAACCCCCTGTTTTCCAAGAAGCTCCCACGAGCCCGGAAATCCACCATCCGACACGTTGCATGGCCAATGCCCCATAATCGACACGCCAGCATAACCGGGACATGGTTGTGTGACGCTGTGCGTCCGATCGCGAACCCCCTGAGGTGATAATCCCGCGTGGCATGCGAGGGCGCACCTCGACCGAAAACCCCCGCCATACTGTAGTCGTCTTTTCTTTCGCATCCGTGGGCTGATAACTGCACTACGCTATCATCGCCGCTATGTCGTCAATGCGAGGGCTTGTGCAGTTCATTGCTGATCTGCGGAATGCCCGCGCTAGAGAACTCGAGGAGAAGCGCGTGAACAAGGAGCTGGCCAATATCCGGCAGAAGTTTAAGTCTGGCAATCTTAATGGTTATCAGAAAAAGAAATACGTTTGCAAATTGCTCTATGTCTACATTCAGGGTTACGATGTGGACTTTGGCCATCTCGAGGCTGTTAACTTGATTACCTCGCCTAAGTACTCTGAGAAGCAGATCGGATACTTGGCTGTCACGTTATTCTTGCATGAGGAGCATGAGCTGCTTCATTTGGTTGTCAACAGTATTCGGAAGGATCTGCTCGATCATAATGAATTGAATAACTGTTTGGCCCTGCATGCTGTGGCCAATGTCGGTGGTAAAGAGCTGGGAGAAGCGCTCGGCTCGGAGGTTCACAGGCTGCTCATCTCACCGTGGGTTTAGAACGGTTTTTGTTCTGTTTATGATTATTCTAACACCTTTTAGTACCTCCAAATCTTTCGTCAAAAAGAAGGCTGCTTTAACGCTGCTTCGGTTGTATCGAAAATACCCCGGCATCGTGCGAAACGAATGGGCCGAACGAATCATATCGATCATGGATGACCCTGATATGGGAGTAACGCTCTCTGTCACCTCTTTGGTCATGGCACTAGCTCAAGACCTGCCAGAGGAATACAAGGGCTGCTATGTCAAGGCTGCACAGCGGTTGAAGCGGATTGTGGTTGACAATGATATTGCTCCGGACTACCTCTACTACCGCGTACCATGTCCATGGATCCAGGTTAAGTTCCTGCGCCTGCTGCAATATTATCCCCCATCAGGTATGTTTAGTGCTCTGGCAAATCGTTACTCGGTTTCTCACATACAATTACAGAGGATAGCCATGTTCGCGAGATTATTCGAGAGTCCCTCTCCCAGATGATGCAAGCTGCAATGGAAACACCCAAGAATGTCCAGCAGAACAATGCGCAAAACGCCATCCTTTTCGAAGCCATCAACCTCCTTATCCACCTCGACTCTGAGCACAATCTCATGATGCAAATCTCCACCCGTCTAGGCAAATACATTCAGTCTCGGGAGACTAACGTTCGATACCTTGGTCTGGATGCGCTGACCCATTTCGCCGCTCGGGCTGAGACCCTTGACCCGATTAAAAAGCACCAGAACATTATCCTAGGCTCGCTCCGAGACCGCGACATCAGTGTTCGTCGCAAAGGATTGGACCTGTTGTACAGCATGTGCGATACCAGTAATGCCGGCCCCATTGTTAACGAGCTTCTTCGATATTTGCAGACTGCCGATTATGCCATTCGAGAGGAAATGGTACTTAAGGTCGCCATTCTTACTGAGAAATACGCCGCCGATGCACAATGGTACATCGATATGACATTGAAACTGCTCTCACTGGCAGGTGAACATGTCAACGACGAAGTATGGCAACGAGTGATTCAGATCGTGACCAACAACGAAGAACTACAAGCTTATGCAGCACACACTCTGCTAGGCTACCTGAAGTCTGATTGCCACGAAAGCTTGGTGAAAATCGGCTGCTATGTCTTGGGCGAGTACGGCCACCTAATCGCCGAAAACGCAGGCTCAAGCCCTATTGAGCAATTCCTGGCTCTGCAGGCCAAAATGTTCTCCAGTTCCGACAACGCGCGGGCGATGATCCTCTCGTCATTTGTCAAGTTTGTGAATTTGTTCCCCGAAATCAAACCCCAGCTCTTGCAAATATTCCGCCTATACAGCCATTCCCCTGATTCCGAACTGCAGCAACGAGCATTTGAGTACCTGTCGCTGGCGACTCTCCCGACCGACGATCTGCTGCGGACGGTCTGCGATGAGATGCCGCCATTCTCAGAGCGAACCTCTATTCTACTTTCTCGGTTACACCAGAAAACAGCAGGCGCGAGTGAGAAGAAGACCTGGGTTATCGGTGGCAAGGACGCGAATGCGGACAAGCAGGAAATGCTCTTGGCACAGAACACCGGTCTCAAGCGCACCTTCACGACAATCGTCAATGGTACGCGCACTGGGTCCGGCAATACACCAGCCAGCCCGGCAAGCGCGTCGAATGCGGCCAGTTCATCGGGCGACTTGGCAGGCCTCGATCTCAGCGGTCCCACAGCCCCAGCTCCCAACATGGCCAGTGCTGCTCATCTGACCCCAGAATGGGACATCGGCTACAACCGACTGTATTTCTCGCGCGAGGGTGTGCTTTTCGAAGATGCACAGATCCAGGTCGGACTGCGCTCGGAGTACCGCGGTCCTATGGGTGTCGTGAAGCTTTATATCTCGAACAAGTCCACGTACCCCATCGGGTCTCTTACCACCACCGTCGACAACCCGGCCTCTCCTCAGTTGAAGATCGACACGAGGAACCTGCCCGAACCAACAGTCGCGGCTGCCGGGCAGACACAGCAGACTCTGTTCTGCACCGCTCATGGTCCCTTCGCGGATGCGCCTACCATCCGTATCTCATACTTGGCCGGTGCTCTCCAGGCTTACACACTCCAGCTGCCTGTCCTGATGCATCGATACATGGAATCCTCGTCTTTGTCAGCCGAGGAGTTCTTCAAGCGATGGCGCCAGATTGGCGGTGGACCTCTGGAATCCCAGAAGACCTTTGCCTTGCTGGGTAAGAACAAGACTACCAACGAGAGGTTCACTCGGAGGATTGTCGAGGGATTCGCATTCAAGATTTTGGATGGCGTCGATCCGAACTCTCAGAACATTGTTGGGTGCGCCGTGTACCAATTCGAGGGGGGTAAGACGGGCTGTCTGCTGCGGCTGGAGCCCAACTACGAGAAGAAGGTATGTATCAGAAGTCTTCCAATTCGTTTCGTATTGTCATGCTAACTCTTTCGTTCAGATGTATCGCGTCACTGTTCGTGCCACCCAAGAAGAGGTCCCCGGGCCACTGGTCAAACAGATGGAGCTGAAGCTGGCGCAGGGCATGAGAGCAGACGAAGCCTTCGATTAAAGCGTCTGCAGGTGATATGGAAGCATTCATGTATATCTCTAATTGAATTATCGAGTAAAATATTAGCAAATGTTCCTGGCGGAACATCGCATCTTTTGTATAATCCTTGTCAGTTTAGTAACAAATAGAGGTGCGATATGCTATACATGCATCTAATGATCAGCATTCTCAGCGGTGACACCAGAAGCCCAAACACTTTTAATCTTGACGAAATCGTAACTCATAACCACCCCCAGTCCTAAGTCAAACAACATTCGCCTCCGCCTTAGGCGGCCGATCCCCAAAGATCGTAGTTCCAACCCTAACCTGATCACTACCAAGAGCAATTGCCCCCTCAAAATCCGAGCTCATACCCATACTAAGCTCCAATTCAGCCTCATCCCCAACCAACCCAAGCTCCTTAACAACCCGATCCCTCGTCTCCCTCAAACAAACAAAATCCTCATTCTCATTCTCCACCGTCGTCGCCCGGGACCGCGCAATAGCCCCAATAGTCATGAAACCCTGCAACTTCAACCGGGGACACTGCTCACGAACATATCGACACAGCGCCGGCGCCGCAGCAGGCTCAACACCCGCCTTATTCTCCTCGCCCGACGTATTAACCTGAACATAGATACGTAGCCTCCCATCCTCGTCGTGGTTCGTAGCCGCCACCTCAGCCCCCCTCTCCCCCCACCCCTTATCCAGCAACTTCGCCTTCTTTTCCGAGTCCACGCTCTCGACAGCCCACAGTCCGCGCACGTCCCGTGCCAGCGTCACGCACTTGTTGCTCTGCAACCCGCCAATGAAGTGCCATTTGATGCTTGCGGGCAGCAGCCGCGATTTCTCGAGTAGTTCTTGAAGGTAGTTCTCGCCGAAGTGCACTTGCGATCCTGGCGCTTGGTGCAGTGCCAATGCGTCGGATGCGGGCTTGAGCTTAGAGACGGCGACGAGGCGGATTGGTTTACTGGGGATTGGGGATTGGAGGGCCGCTGTGCTCACTCGGGCGCGCACCGATGTTAGGTTTGAGAGGAGTGTGCTGGCGCGTGCTGGTGTTGCTGGGTTCATTGTTGGTGGTTGCGATGGTGTGTTGGTTGTCATTGCAGGTTGGTGGGGTTGTTGTTGATGTTGTTGATGTTGTGTTGATTCTGTTGATTCTGATTGTTGTTGACGTATAGATTTGTTGTTAGGGTTTTGAAGAATTTCATATAAGTTCAGATAGGGACTTCAATGATGTGTTCAGTCAATTGAGTTGAGATGAATCAAATCCAAGCTAGTCAGGAATAGAAAGTTAGACTTTCGATAAGGGCCTTAGGCAGCAATTTCCTCGGAGAATATTCCGTCGCACGTGACTCACCTGCGCCACATCTGGCCTTGCGCCTCACCGTCTATTTCGCTTTTCCGTTTGCATCTTTGAATCGAGAGATCCGTGAGATCATCTACATCCTAAGAATGTCAACTGACATATGGAGTCCTCCGTACAAACTCTATTTCTGCAGTCATCCGGTAGGCAATCCCGATGCGAGATCCTGGCGGCAAGCCAGACAGACCTCTGCTCCAATCACAGATATGCATCGTCGGAAAAGAGACTGCGGAGCGCCGGGTATGGGCGGATCCCCTCAGTTCGTCTCAACCTGTCAGGACTGACTGGCTCTCGGCTGGTCTTGTCGATCAGATTGTCGCCGTTGGGTTTCAAACTAGTCCCTCGATGCAGGATCTTGATCTCTATTTTTAATTCCGTCCAACCTGTTGAATCAGAAAATAGCCGCCTGCTTGTCTTTTTCTAGTCTTTCTTCTGAGACTCCCATTTGCATTACCCCCAGTCCCCACCAGAGCGCCAAGTTTGCTGCCTAGACTACCTGTCCAAGCCAAAATAGCGGTACCGAGTTCGATGGCGCCCTCGGCGAGAATACGACCTGGTGTCAGATGCAACCTGCCGCCGACGGATGGGGTAAGGTCTAGGCAAGGTATAAGCCCACTAAGAATATAACTATAATAATACCCATCATAATAAGCAAAAAAGTTTATGGTTTCTTTGACGTCAGCTCCAATCAATAGCCGTGGTTCCATTCATAGACGCGGTCAATGACTATTCACTCATCATTACATGAGGCCTGGAAGAACTTAAAGGGCTAATAGGCTGCTCTTCTTTGCCTATTCTTTTTGCTTGCTGATCAACGTCGTCAACTCTCCATATCATCACCCATTTCAGCTGGTCTGAATAAGCCTTCAAATATCTGAGCATCTCGACATCACCAGCTACAAAGCATACTTTCCGAGGTTTTCCGATTAGGCTTACTAGCTAGTCAGCGACGCTCGAAACCATTCACACGCCATTTACACACTGGGCATTTGACATCCTCATATCCTTGCCATACACCATCATCAATCTTCATATCGCAGTCAATCTGCTTTACATATTCAACTACCACCAAGTCCATATCGTCCATCGTCCATCAACTGTCAACTGCAACTGCAAATATCCAGAACTTACTGTGGGAATCGGCAGGACGCCCCGCAACAGTCAACAGTCAACAGTCAACTGCAACAAAGAAGCATCCAACAAGAGCATTATGTGTCGCCAATACTTCACACTCTACGAATGGTGCCAATGCGAAGAAGACGCCGGCAACAGCGTCTGTGCCGCCCATCGTCGGAATAATTGCCCGGGCATCAGCGTCGAGACCGTGCACATGCATTGCTTCTGCAACTCGCATGCCACGCGTGGTTTCAAATCTGAGAAGGAGACCCGCAAGAAGGAGAATAAGACCAGCCGCCGATCTCAAGATTCCCTTGGTGAAAAGGATTCTTTCGGGCGCCGTTGGTATCAGTGGTATCAATGGCGAGGTCTGCGGTCGCGTTAGTGGCAACATCTACATTTGACTTGTTTTTCTCTCTCTTCTCTGTCTATTATTTTTTTTAAAGCTTTGGTGTTGGGGGGTTGGGATCTCGATTTAGATGAGTTTACGGTCTTCCATTACCTGGATACGATGGTCTAGATGATCTACATGAGATCCGATTTTTGCTTTTCTTGAATTTGGGATATTTTCGACTATTCTATATTAGAGATGAGTTCTAATAAAGAGCATGAATTATGATTGTGCATTGTTGCAAAAGCTAATAAAGACGGATCTAGTTATTATACAATAAGAACCAAGTAGAGGCGATCAAAGAAGATCAATAATCAATTCCTCAGTTCCTCAAATCTTCAATAGAAATCTAAGATTGTTGTCTATTGTATGTCGTTGTATGTCGTTGTTCTATGGTCTGCTGATCGACCGAACCCCTACCCCATGTGGCTTAACCCAAACATGTGAATCCCCACCCTTCCTTTGTTTCTTTGTTGCTTTTGATTCCCTTTCCCTATTCATCGAACCTCGACCTATCATCTCTTTTCATTCCTTGAATGACGAGAAACATCGTATATTGACCCTTTGTGGCAGAGTCGAAATCTGCAAGATGGAATACAAGCCCCCCTCCACTGCGGGGGACCCGCCATTACCAGGGGACAATGGTATTGAGAACAACAATAACGATGAGGCGCATTGTGAACTGATCGATTCTCTGAATCGCCTGACCCTGGCGACAGAGACACCATTGCCTTTATCACCTCGTCTTTCTCCTGTTCCATCCCATCCTCTCCCCTCTAGATTTGTTCAAGCCGCTCGAGCTGTACCTGCTATTCCTCTGCAGCCCAGTGAACCTGTTCAAGCTGTCTCGTTACAATCGAATCAACCTGTGCAATCTGTCCCACAAACAGCTGGTTCTGTTTCTGTTCGAGACGAACGACACAGGTCAATTGCACCGCTACAGAAGCAAAGGTCTGTTGCATCTCTTCGTTCGGTCTCACAACCGCTCAAACCTTCATCTCCAACTCCTGGCCCTTCACGCCGCACATCATTCACCTCTGTGGGGTCGCCAGCCACCGCAGCCTCAGCCGCGATGCCCCCCACACGCCTTGTCATCAGCCCGGCTCCAGAAGCTCTAGTTCCGACTGCTTTGTCTGTCGCTGCTGCGCATTTCTCAAAGGAGCTTGAATTACACCGGTCTGGTGATGTCAATACTAAAACTGCTGTTATTATTCATGACGACTGCTATGGCCATCGCTACTCCCAGCTTGAGGCGCCAAAACGAACTATCGACAGCATTGTCGAAAGACCAGAGCGCATTCGCGCCTGCGCTGTGGGCATATCTGCAGCCTATGTCCGCCTCGGCTCTCGATATGCGGAAGATCTCGCTGCAAATCCAAGTTCGGACTTGGACGAGATTGATGTCCCTTTCCAAATTATCAAGACTGATCGCAAGGTGCATCTGTCTGATACTGCCGTTACAGATGTTCATGGAACTCAATGGATGTCAGAATTGAAATGGATGGGGGACCTTGCAGAATCACGTCTCATCATGGATGGAAACGAACTTGCCAGACAACGGACGGAGGCAGACGACGGCCTCGGGACAAGTGGTCCTGCCCTGAATGCCAACGACCTTTACTTATGCTCAGAGTCTGTGAATGCCTTCCAAGGAGCCCTAGGGGGCGTCTGCGAGGGAGTGGATCTCGTTTTCAAGTCTGGTCCGATCCAGCGCGCATTCGTCTGCATTCGACCTCCCGGTCACCATTGTTCAGCTAACTTCCCTTCCGGCTTTTGCTGGATCAACAACGTTCATGTCGGGATTTCCCACGCAGCAACAACTCACGGTCTGACCCACGCTGCGATCCTTGACTTCGACCTTCACCATGGCGATGGGTCTCAGGATATTGCATATGACCACAACTCCAAATTACTCAGCAAAACACAAAAAGCTGACTTGGCCAAAACCGATGCCACGAAATTCAAAGAGTATGAAGACGCTCCTCCGTACAGCAAAACAGCTATCGGCTACTATAGCTTGCATGACGTGAACTCTTTCCCTTGCGAGAATGGTGAGCGTGACAAAGTCATGGGTGCCAGCCTCTGTGTCGAAGCACACAATCAGTCCATCTGGAATGTTCATCTCGAAGAGTGGGCCGATCTCGATGAGTTCTGGAAATTGTACCGCACAAAATACAATGCATTGCTCACCAAAGCCCGCTCATTCCTACGGCAACGTACAATGGAACTCAGTCAAGAGCGGCAAGTGAATCCGAATTCCCCGCTGCCCAAGGCAGCTATCTTCATCTCTGCCGGGTTTGATGCCAGCGAGTGGGAAGGCAACGGCATGCAACGTCACAGCGTGAAGGTGCCGACTGAATTCTATGCCAGGTTCACGGCGGATGTAATCCGCATGTCGCAAGAGGAAGGCCTCGGTGTGGAGGGGCGCGTCGTCAGCGTCCTCGAGGGCGGCTACAGTGACCGCGCGCTGTCCTCCGGTGTGCTCAGCCACCTGTCAGGTCTGAGTGAGAACTCAGAGTTCAGAAGTGAGTGGTGGTCTCAGAGTAATCTGAGAGAATTGGATGCCATCATGGCTCCAACGCCCAGCAAAGGGCGCAAGAAGAGTGCTGCCACCTACCTGACAGCCACGAAATCCTTTGCGGCAAAGGTCGTTGTCCCTGGGAGAGACCGGAGGTCCACCGGGGACCTCGATGCCAACATCCCTGCCGCCCCTTTGCCAGAAGTGAGCTGGGCGGTGGCCACCGGGGAGCTCTCGAAGCTCATCATCCCCGATGGCCGCCAGACCCGGAGCTGCCGCCCGGCAGAGCTGAACCGCCAGCGCCGAGAGCAGAGCGCCCAGGACAGGGGTCTCGACCTCATCATCCCTGTCGAGAAGGGGCGCCAGTTGCGCGCGCGCAAGCCCAAGGAGTCGGGCCCCGTGCCCACCACCCCACGGCGCCAGGCCCGCAAGGGTCTGAAGACCCCCAAAACCGCGGCCGCCGCCACGACCCTCCCTGCTGCCTCCCGCGAGGCCTCCCCGTCTGTTGGTGCCTCCCGTCGGAAGAGCACCAGTCTGACGCGTGCGGGAACTCCGCACCGGGGTGTCAGCCCCCTGGATCTCCCCCCGGTTCCACAGGTTCCAACTTCCGTGGGGGGAGTCAGGGGGCGCCCCCGCATAATTCTCAACATGCCGGCGCAGGAGCCCGCTCGTGGCCGCAAGTTGTCCGGCGGTGCGGTTGACCACCACCGCCGGGGTCGAAGCTCAAAGTCCCCCAAGAAGGGGAAGAAGAAGCGTGGGAGCAACTCCGGCGGGAGTTCGGCTGCTTCCGCCGGCAGTTCTCCCCCAGTCGCGGCCAAGGATGCCGTGATGGAGGGTGCTTAGGGGGGGGGGATGATCTTTGTCTTGTCTTCTTTTTTCAAATTTGATACCCAGACTGACTTTTGTCGAAACTTCCGTCATTTGTGTAAACTTTGTAGACCGTAACAGTAGATGACGGTTTCAAATTCTCGTCTCCTTATGTTCTTCGACACGGCGTACACAAAGGAACTGGCTTCGATCCGCGTGAAGGAAGATCCCTTGGATAGCCCAAATGCTGAGCGCGATCAACCTGCATCCAACCGCCACTAGGGTAAGAGAAGAATTCGTTGAGGTACATACATAAGCTACTCGTGAAGTAGGAGGCTTTTCAATATTTGTATGCTCCTTCATCGTACAACGGTGTATACAGCTTATCCCTTGAGTAACTGATAAAATGCACACCTTTCATCAAATGGGCCTGTGGTTTAGGGGTATAATACCCGCTTCGCACTACAACAGTGACTTGCGGGGGGTCCCGGGTTCAATTCCCGGCGGGTCCATTCTTTTTTGTTTTTCTTTTTTTTTTGTCTACCTTGCTTCGTATATTATTCTTTTATCCTTCTTGGTTATGTTCGGCTTATTTTCATGACATATATGGTTAGTATTGATCCTGTTATTTGAATTGTAACAGTATACTTGTATGTTCTTAGTTGATGTTGGGTGTCGTAGTTTGTATGCAAAATGTACATCTATATATATTTACCTATGTATGCCCTAAAACACCACCCGCAGCCTCTGGTTTAACTCGAAGAATTTCGAAACCACCCTCGTCTCTGTCCTCACCTTTCTGTGGCCACAGGATTTGTCGTGTCAAAATAGCTCGAACCATCATATAGCACACAAAAAAGTACATCAACAGCAACGGTAGTATCGCCGCACACCCAACAATTTCAATAGGCTTGCAGGAGAATGCCTTGCCAATAGCAAAAGTGGCAGTGATCAAGGCAGTATTAGGGAAAATAAATGAGAACCAGGTCATTGAGAAGACCATGCGTCCATGTCCAATCGCCGACCAATGGGCCGTGCTTGCAATAATGAAGAAAAAGATGGCTAACCTGGAGAAGAGTTAGCCGAGTACACAGAAATAACCAAACAATCAAACATACCCCCAAAGCCAAAGACACGCAAAATTAGTAACAATCTTTAGCACATCGGCGGCCAGCGCCCCGTCACCCATAAAATCGGCCGGAAACGACCTCTTCGCCCCAGCCGCCATATTTACCAGCCCGGCAGCCGTAAACCCGCTCGGTCCCACAGAAACAAACATACCAGGACGGAGATTTTCCTTTGGTAGCTTCTGCGTCATCAGCCGGTATATGAAGGCCGAGTACACCATCAACGAAACCAAAAAGCCAACTCCTTGGATAGTCGTACCGCCAATAATAACCGGTAATGACTGCGACGGTTCTAGCTTTGCACTGAGGATCCCAGCATGTGGGCCAATGATGAGCATCGGGTACGCAGGGAAAATCCAGATAGGAGTCATCTGCGCGATGGTGAATGTCTGCGTCGACCAAAGGAGGAGGTAGATGCCCGCCGAGAACATAACGGCTAGAGTGGCATCGATCCAGAAGAGAATACAGACTGCGTGAATCAGCCATGGACCTGTGTTTTCGGGCCCGTACTGAGATACGTTGATTAGGATCGTGCCAAAGGATACTATAGCTGCGGGTACGAAGAGTGACTCCGTTGGGTGCATGAATGACGCCTTGAATGTATACGGATAATGATAGAACCGGACCAGCAGAAGACCCCAGATGATGAGATATAAAGCGATATTGATCAGGAAAACCACGATGCCAATGGTATCCAAGCCCCTGAACCGAAATGGAACTGGTTCTTATTAGCCATACTCAACCGAACAGGATGATATCGACCATGCACACCTTGATACAAGACATTAGCTAGGCCACCAGTAGCCATAGTCAACGTAAAATACGCCCACGTAATATGACGAATGCGCTCCTTCCAGCTCAGCTTTCCAGAAACCGTGTGCTTGAGCCCAAACAGGCTCAGTCCGTTATACTCTCGGCACGCACCGGCTTCCTTATCCGGATTTGTTTTCACGGTAGCCCGCGACGAGGCTCGCTGTAATGCAGCCTCCAGAGCAGACGAATGAGCCTCGCAAACCCTGCCACCGGGAATTTCCTCGGCAGTCCCCGGGATTGAGAGCGCCCGCTCAGCATCTTCTATCGTTGGTGTTCGGTACCCGTCTTCGCCGGGACTTCGCATGTGCCGGGGTAGATCGGGTTCGGTGGCCATCACTGTTAAATGCGGGCCGACCCAGCGAGTGCACACGGCCGAATACAAGCGTGGATGGTTTGAACTTCCCCCTCGTTCGGGGGTTCTATTGTGCTGCTTGCGGATGATGGCATGGGTAGTAGAGGTGATGTCGCAAAAGGCTAAGATACCAGCATGGGGAAAAAATTATGTACGATCTCAGGTTTCTGTTGTCGAAGCCCCTTTAATTAATAGCGATTGAAAATCTAAGTAGAAAAGAATACTAGACGGGTCGTTGGGATCGACGTGAATTAATGTGGAGACCGATGGCAAGAATCCACGACTGCTTTCGATCGGCACCATGAGGTTGCTCTGAGAGAGGAACAGAATAGACCACAAGCTATGTGGATTCTCGGGAATATACTCGAGATGGTGAATTCAGGTTGTTGCAGGTAGACAAGTCTACTTCGCGATTCGTTAACGTGCAATCTACGTTATTCCATTTTTTTTTTTTTTTTTTTTTCTTTCTCATATCTCCAAGCTATTTAGTACGGAGTACTATAAAGACAAAACAGGCAATAGGGCTTAGGGCTCGGTGCTATCCCCCTGAACCGTGGAACCGTGGAGAGCCGAGGCATTTGCTTGATCTCCACTCGCCTACCTGATATGTATACTAGTACATGCCGTAGCCAGCTGTTTTACTACATACCACGTTGTATAAGTGACTTTCAAATATAGTCCTTGGGCTTAGTCTGTCATACTTCAACTCAAACACGTCAGGAATGACAGACACTCGCAGATCGGTGCTCATCACGGGGTAAGTTGCAGACTTTAGACAGATACCAACAACAACTTCTGATATATGCAGTAGATGTTCTCCAGGTGGCATCGGCAACGCTCTTGCGCGCGAGTTTAATCGAAATGGACTACGCGTGCTAGCCACTGCTCGCGAGGCGGCGACTATTTCTGATCTGGCAGACATCGGCATTGAAACCTTGAGTCTTACAGTTGATGACCCGGAGAACGTGAAATCTTGTTTCACAGAGGTTGAGAAGAGACTCGGAGACAAGGGTCTTGATTATCTCGTTAACAACGCGTGAGTACATGTGGATTTTGTCATTTTATCCGTGAACGATGAGGTACATCTGGCTAATCTCCCACAGTGGTCGGAGTATGTAACCCCACTCTGCGACTGCTAGAGTCAACCATTTATAGGTACTGATTGCTGCAGATTATACCGTTCCCGCGATGGAAGTAGAGCTTGCCGAGGTTCGCCAAACGTTCGAGACCAACCTTTTCGCGGTCATTGCTATGTGCCAGGCTTTCCTGCCCTTGCTCATCAAGGCGAAAGGTACTATTGTACAGATTGGATCCATTGCCGGGGTACGCTTGAGGTATATCCATATCCGGAGATCTGATCGTACTGACATTGACTAGATCATCCCATATGTATTCGGCTCTGTCTACAACTCCTCTAAAGCAGCACTACACTCGTTCAGTGACACGCTTCGCGTGGAGCTGGAGCCATTCGGGTTAGATACCACAAGCCCCAAGATCTATGTCGTGTTTTCTAACCAGGATCAACAGTGTCCACGTCACAACGATCGTAACCGGCGGTGTTCAATCGCGTATTGCGCGGACCGACCGATCTCTACGGCCGAATTCCTTATATTCCCCCATCGAGACCGAGTATATTGCCCGTGTGAAGCATAGCCAGCACAATGCTATGCCGAATGACGCCTATGCTCGCAGTGTTGTTTCTCAAGTGTTGTATGGCTCAGCTCCATGGCGCTGGTTGTGGCCATGGGCTCGTGGTCGTAAGGCCTGGATCTGGGAGGGGCATGCTAGCTGGTTGATTTGGATGTTGTCGGGTGGCTGGGCTTGGTCGGGACTGTTTGGTCGGGCCATGACTAAAATGTTCAAACTATGGAAGATCAAAAATGCCTCGGCTAAATGAAGGGGGGAGGAGAGAGGTGTAGATGTAGTCAATAAGATATAGTAGACAAACGCAAAAGATATAACGCATATAGATCATACAAGTAAATAAACACCCGTTTACATCCAAGTACCGACTTTATTAGCCATGTTCCGTTATATTCGCGTACCCCATGCTGAGTCAGGCCAGGAACGATCGCTGGTTGGCCACGGCACCCGATTCTAGCGTAACACAAGGTTACCTACCCCGAGTGAAAAAGAAAGCTGTTCTCCCGGTCCTTTACCATCTAAACGGGCTTTATATCTCCGCCCTTCCACATTTTCCCTCTCATAATTCATCATGTTTAAGCTTGCTCGCGGTAGACCCGTTGCGGCGGCTTTCAAGGCTGCAACAGTGAGTTATATCTGAGATCGGGCGCTCGTTTGATGTGTTAATTAAGCTGACTTTGTTGAACAATAGCAACCCTCCATTCAGAGCAGAATCGCTTTGCAGAAGCGAAACCTTTCCATCCACGAGTACCGTTCCGCAAGTCTCCTCAAGACTGTACGTCCACCTGCGTTTCACCCTTTGGTCGCCTAAGAAGGAACCCAGGATCACTGATCAACAATCTAGTACGGTGTCGGTGTCCCCAGGGGTGAGGTCGCCAACACTCCCGAAGAGGCCGAGGCTATTGCCAAGTCTATCGGTAAGAATAATATACCACTTTCCCCCGTTGAACGCGCTCGCTGAAAATTACAATCCAGGTGGTGGTGATCTTGTTATCAAAGCCCAGGTTCTCGCCGGTGGCCGTGGTAAGGGCCAATTCGACAATGGTCTCAAGGGTGGTGTCCGTGTGATCTACTCGTGAGTCGAACAAATCTAAGGACGGGTTGTCAACAATGAAGCTGATAAATATCTTTACAGTCCCACCGAGGCCAAGATGTTTGCTGGTCAAATGATCGGTCACAAGCTCGTTACCAAGCAGACTGGCGCTGGCGGCCGTATCTGTAACTCGGTCTACATTTGCGAGCGCAAGTTCGCCCGCCGTGAATTCTACGTTGCTGTCCTCCTTGACCGTACTACTCGTGGCCCCGTCATCGTCTCATCCTCCCAGGGTGGTATGGATATCGAAGCTGTCGCCAAGGAGAGCCCCGATGCCATCACAAGCACCCCCATTGATATCCACGTCGGTGTGACTGACGAGATCGCTCGCACCATCGCCACCGATCTTGGTTTCTCCGAGCAGTGCATCGAGGATGCAAAGAACACTATCCAGAACCTCTACAAGTGCTTCATGGAACGCGATGTTACCCAGCTCGAGATCAACCCTCTGTCTGAGACTTCCGATCACCAGGTTTTGGCCATGGATGCCAAGCTTGGATTCGACGACAATGCCGAGTTCCGTCAGAAGGAGGTTTTCTCGTGGCGCGATGTTTCCCAGGAGGATGCCGATGAGGTCAAGGCCGCTGAGTACGTTGCCTTACCCAGTTATAGCAAAAACAAAACGGCGCGAAACAACATTGACTGACTTTCATCTTTTTCCAGGCACGGTCTTAACTTCATCAAGCTCGATGGTGATATCGGCTGCCTTGGTAAGAATCCTGTTGATACGTCAAAATATCACAACGCTAATTCTCGCTTCTAGTCAACGGTGCCGGTCTCGCTATGGCCACCATGGATATCATCAAGCTTAACGGCGGTACCCCTGCTAACTTCCTCGATGTTGGCGGTGGTGCCACCCCCGCTGCCATTAAGAGCGCCTTCGAGCTGATCACCAGTGACCCTAAAGTGTCTGCCGTCTTCGTTAACATCTTCGGTGGTATCGTTCGCTGCGACGCCATCGCCCAGGGGTTGATCAACGTCGTGCAGGAGATGAACATTACCACCCCCATCATCGCCCGTTTGCAAGGTACCAACATGGAGAAGGCCCACGAGCTGGTATGATGACAGTCCCCATTCTCCCTTTTTTCGCTATGGAGTCAACTAACCACAGCCCCTGCTTTCTAGATCAACGAGTCCGGCCTTAAGATCTTCTCCATCGAGGACCTCCAGAACGCCGCTGAGAAATCCGTCCAGTTCTCCAAGGTCGTCAAGATGGCCCGTGAGATCGACGTCGGTGTTGAGTTCACCCTCGGCATCTAAAGGGCGTTTAACCTTTTGTTTATAATGATAGAGAGGGTAGGGAGCATTTTCATTTGCCTTTTTCCTGGGCCTAGCGAACCGAGCCGAACCACCGCAGTGACATCTTAGAGTGATCTTTGTAATGCTTTTGCGCCTGTTCCTGTGTCATTTATTTTCTTGTTGTCACTGTATTCTTGAGTGTTTCTATGACTTAGATCAGTTCCTAATCGGGATATGTGAGAGATGATATATTGAGCTCTCATTGTTTAGTGTAAAGTATCCCTTTCTATAAAGTTCATCTATGTAGGGTAGATGGCTGCTTGTCCGAGTGAGGATGACCTGGACTCGGCCATATATTCTTCGAGCTTCTTTGAAGGCTTGACAGAAGCTACGTGGGGAATGATAACATTCTATAATGTCTCCATGATGGGGCTTAAAAAAAGAAAAAGGCTGCGAGAGCCTCCCGTACTGAAGTCCACGGGTCGCCCACCACCTTACTTCAACCTCATCTCAAACCGTCCCCCCCTTCCATCCCATCCCATCCAACAATATCCCTTTGAAAGTTTCTTTCTTTCTCTCAATCTTTCGTTCGCCTCGATCTAACATGGCCTCACCCACCCATTCCATTCTCGAGGGCTTTGTTGCTCTCCGAGACAGGTCAAGCCGCCGAGAAGTGTATGTCCCACGTCCAAAGCCCATAGTCGGATCTGACTGCTGATAAAAATAGGCTCAATGCGATTCTTGATACCCTAGATTCATATGAAATACGAGAGGTGAAAAGTCGACTCGAGCCGGTGACATTCCAACTTGATTTGCTAGGTAAGCTGCCTATTGAACTGGTGGCTATGTTGGTAGAGTACTTGGACCTAGCAGATCTTGTTATCCTTCAAAGAGTATGTCAGCATCTGTTCGGATATTCGTGACCAACATGTTGACATTTCAAAGGTCTCCAAACGATGGCGTGAATTGCTCTCTTCAACCATCGTCTTCACCACTGCAGTCAGACACCACATGGGAGAAAACATCATCAAGTCCGGTTCTACCCCTATCGGTTTTGGCGCGCTGGTAAAAAAAAGAATTCGCGCGGAAAGGGGAATTCCTGCTGTTGTGGCCACAATTCCTAATAACTTGTGTTGCAATGTAGCGAACATCATGGAGAGAGAGGCCCTAAGCTGTTTTAATGGAGTATGCGCGTGGATTGAAAAATCCACAGATCAAACTACTATATTCATGGTGAACCTATCAACCGGCAAGAACAGAATCCTCACAACAGCGAATCGAGAGAGATTTATTTATGTCCAGGTCTCGGACACCTTAGTCTCAGCAATTTCTGTTCGGGGGTATGTAGCCAGAACAGGAATTTCACTTTGCTGAATGCACCTCTGACTGGACACGATAGGTATTGTCATGTCTGGAACATATCCGAAGAACAGTACAAGTCATTTCGCATTCCTTCGCTGAAATTTGGTCATTACATCTCCATCGGATCCAAGGTCATGCTGGGCTACTCGGATTCCGTGGTCCACTTCTGTTTTGACTCTGGAATCGCCCGTTCCATCAAAATCGGGCCGTTCGTTCTTTTGTTGTCAGTACATCCGGAGGAAGACGGATTCTCCGTTGTTTGCGTCCGCAGAAAAAATGGCGACAATACTCAAGCATGGGCAGATGGCCACTTGTATTGGGAAGAGCATCATTTGCAGACTCAGAAGTTCTCTGTCCATGATAATAGGTTTATCTGCACGTGGGAGCAATATCGAGAGCTTCCTTTCAGACAAGACGAACTGTGGATGTTTCGATGCAAACCAGAAGATAGCTGGCCACCATGGAGAGTGTGCCCGCGCCCTGGTCAAAGCTCTACTTTGCTGGATTACGATATGACCGAAGCCTTTATGGATCGTTCTCCTAATTATCTAGAACACGAGGATGAATATGGCTCGCTTTCGCTTTCACTCGAGGCGGATGATCGGATTACTGTGCATTTCCGCTGCGAAAATATTCAAGAGCTGGAATTCAATTATTCTTACACTAATCTAGACTATGCAGCCCGGGGCCCGGGGTTGATTTATTGTTTAGACATGATGTTAGGGGATTTGAAAATTGGCTGTGAATTTCCAGAGCTGTGGCATGCCCGCGATGCTGAAGCGTATTCATCCTTATCCTTTCGCAGAATACCTTTTGCAGCTAACCAGGCACCCACCGCGATTTGGGGGGATGGAGACTTTGCTCTATTCCTTGTGGATGACAAAATCTGGATCTGGTGTTTTGATGAGGCATGGATCCCTTCTGGCATCCCTAACATGAAGATTGAATTTCGCGATTTGACTACGCGTACAAGAAACAAGAAATGACTATACCAACTAGTCAGCTATAACCCCTGTCAAATCCACCTGGGCGCTAGCGGATGATTGCAGTCAATACAAGCTCTTTGTTAAGCAATACTGTATGAATAAATATGTAGATACCCCGATGATGATTAGACCAGGGCCTTATATGCATGTGAGTTTAAAAAAGGCAGATTGTATCACAGAAAAGTGTATCATTATTAGGGGGTAATTTGAGATATAATAATAGTACAATAGTACGGAGCACTATGGAGGTAGAACTACGGAGTATGTCTAGCCAGTTTAGCTGTAGTCAGGCATGAACCCTTTATCATCACCGAATCCCAGTTAAATGCCTCAAAGCCTCTTTATCCTTTGATATACTCCGTATAGCGTGTTATATTAGTGAGAATTAGGTAGAATCCAGGCCAATAGGGCTATAAAAGATATGGAGTAGAGGTTAGACAATTAAAGTAATAGCCCTGTCACCCCTTTTTCCCAGATAATATGCTAATATATCCAATTGGACTCTTTCTTTTCCTTCATCCCTGTTTAAACTCATAACTTCCTCATTTTTTCTGCAGACCGGACTGTCAACGCATTTCCGGCCCCCTTCCCCGCAGAGCCTTTTCCTCAACCTTCCAGACAACTTCGAGACTTTCTTTTTTTTTTCCCTCAATATTTTTTGTTGAAAACAACCCAATTTCTGCGCGATGACAGAAGTGTTGATTATTGGTTGATCTCCCACGTTCGTTCGGCACGAGCATAAACGGTCCATCGCGTCCGAATTCCACCCCTCACGATCCCGTCGCATCCACCATCGATCTTGTGCTATATATACCCACACCCCTCCGACATGAGTCGTCTTGCCGACCCCCCTTCTACTAGGATTTCATTTGCCGGGGTATCAGACGCCCCCGGCAGGACACGAAACATACCTGTACTTTCGTCGTCTGGTCAGCATTCGATGGATATCACCCCTCCGCCCACGGGCGCGCATGGCTCTGACGACCGAATGACCGGAATCACCAATGGCGCTGAAGCTGGAAACAATCTTTTGACTGCTCCAAATGCGGCTATCGGCGCTGCGGCCGCAGCTCAGCAGCCAAAAGTCGTCCAGACTGCTTTCATTCACAAGCTCTACAAGTATGCCTTTTGGTCTTCCTGAGTCTTTTGTCTTCATCGGCTTACCTTTTTGGGAAACAGTATGCTAGAAGACCCCAGCATCCAGCATCTCATCTCTTGGTCCGGTACAAATGATAGCTTCGTCATGTCGCCAACGTCGGAATTCTCCAAAGTCTTAGCGTGCGTGCTATCCTCTCTGCCAATGAACTCGTCTCTGACCCTCGCAGATCATACTTCAAGCATACCAATATCTCCTCGTTCGTTCGGCAGCTGAATATGTATGGGTTTCACAAAGGTGGGTGTTTCGCATGCGAGCTTTGACTGGGCGATTTCTGACCATTTTTGACTCTGCTAGTGAGCGACGTCTTTCACACCGGGTCCCCGGATTCTGCGCTCTGGGAATTTAAACATGGCAATGGGAACTTCAAAAGAGGCGATCTAGCTGGTCTACGAGAGATCAAGCGCCGTGCTTCGAGACACGCTTTGATCCACCGTGATTCATTCCCTGGCCACAAGGCTCCTGTTTCGCAGCCCGGAACTCCCGCCGAACCCGTACATGATGCGACCGAAGCTAGATTTCTAAATATCGAGCAAACCTTCTACGATCTGCGTAATCGTATGGCTCGGGCCGAAGAAGGCAATATCACACTGAACTCGAGATGTCATGCTATGACCGAAAGCCTGACAAAGTGCTACCAGGTATGTCCGCCGTCTATGTTATTGCAGGGTCTAGTGCTAACCTGATTTTAGTGGACACATTCTATTTCACGGTTTCTTCAAGCTGTTGTGCCCGATAGGGAAAGCCCTCTACATCGCGATGGTATGTCAATATTGCCGCTTCCCTCATGGTGACACCCACTGACACTCGCCAGTCTCGAGCATGCAAAGAGAAGTTGAGAAACATATCGAAATCATGCGCGCCATGGAAACCCCCCACGAGACCCTCATGCCTCCGCGGCAACAGTACTTCGCCAACATGACTGAAGCCGGTCCACCTTTGTCCCCGCGCCAAATGCCCCAGGACGATGCCCGTCGACAGTCCATGATGGACCATACACCTAGACACACCAACATGATCCGACCGCCCGTCCCTCCCCATCTCTCAGTATCCCCCCGCCGCTACGGCTCGATTGGCGGCGCCAATTCTGCCTCAGCATACGCTCGCCTACAACCTCCTGTTGCGCCGCCCGCACAGCAACCGATGCCTCATCCTCTCTCCGTATCAACGTCCCCAGGACCAAACTTGACCCGCCGTCACACGTCTGCGGATATCCGACAGCACGGCTGGTCCCCCTCGGCTGGCTCACCCTACCCCCCTGGCAACCCCCCAAACGGCCCTTGGCCTTCATCACCAGGGCACCGAACCCCGGTCTCTAGTGACCAGCAAGTCCGTGATGTCCTCGCCCAATACGAAATGGGCGCCCCCCGCCGCCTTCGAGAACAATCCCGCCATGCCACTCCACCAACTGCCGAACCTTCACCGTCCATGCTCGGTGTCGATAACGGCTGGACACTTGGTGGTTCAAGATTCCCTCACGGCTCTTCCTTGCCCGCAACCCGTCGCTCGAGCATGGCGAGCAATGTGCATTCATTGCTCAATCCTGCAGATACTGCCGAAAGACCCGACGAGGACCAGCAGGCGATGTCAGAGGACCGTAAGCGGAAGCGGTTGGAATGAATCCTACGTTTTTGGAAGATTCCCAGCATCCACCATTCACTAATGCTGGCACTACCTTCTTCTCCAATCAAGTCCCCATACCACCGACAAGCCATGCCACTCCCCTCTTCTTCCCCTGCTCTTTTGATCTGCATATGTACTATTCACCAGAGCAAAAGGGCACCCATTTCCAGGCATCTGGAGAATGTCCCCAGCTCTGACCTCATTTTTTTAATTCCGCCTGTAGATGTCCCATTTCCCCCATTTCTTCTCCACCTTTCATCTTTTCTATTTTTGGATATTTAATTCTGGCGAAGGCACGCCAATCCCGGCCCTTGGCCTAACGGCCTACGGCTCTCCGGGTCTCCATACTTCGTTCACACACAGCATATCATATATACCCTTGGGTTGGGCGGAGCAAAAAAAACATTTGAATCTTGTGGCACCTAGAGCAAGAGACTGGAATTGAATTGTATTTTATATTTGCAGTTTGATTATATCAATTAGAATGATGTTTTTTTTCTGCACTGTTTGATCTTGCTATTTTGTTGGAGTGGCACGTGGCACAGCATGGCACAGCATGGCACTCAGCCGAGTATGTATGCAGTCTTCCTTGGTCGTGTCTAGCCAAGGGACACTGCGCTGTAGTCTCTGCCGCTGGCAGAGTGAGGCCTCAGCGGGCGATCCGGCTGTGGCGGCATGGGTTCAACCCCAAGCCCCTGAATCAACGGCCCAATCGCCGTGTCTGGCGCATCCGAAGCGACGAAGATCAAAGCCTAATCCATCAAAGAGGACCCAGAGCCAGGTACGGAGTAGAGCTCGCGCAAAGCTCGTGTGCGTGGTAACATAGAATCGAACCGATCAACCGCAAATCTTCATCTCTTCTTCCTCTTCTTCGCACGCTCAGCCAAAAGCTCATCAAGATAACTCGTAGCCTTCTTCCTCCCCTTCGAGCGCGCAGGAGCAGGCACAACCTCACCCTCACCCTCCTCGCCACCTTTATCTCTGGCCTCAGCAGCCGCAGCCGCAGGATGCACACCACGACCTGCTCCAGCCCCACCTTTCCTCTTATTCTTCTGCCTAGCAAGCATAGCCGAGCGACCGTCCTCTTCATCATACTCGTCCTCGACGTCGGCTTTCGACACACTAGCCGAAGCAGACGCAGCCGCGGCCGTAGAAGCAGCATTCGCCGCCTTCTGCTCGGCAGCGGCCTTCATAACGCGATCGTAGTTCTTGCCGAGGAGTTGTTTACGTAGTTTATCGTTTGAGTCCAGCTCTGTGCGATTCCAGCTTCCGTCTGCTGCTTTTTGTGGGAGGGGGGCTCCGACACCGAGGCTGTGAGTTCGTTGTGGTTAGTTCGTGCATTGTAGGGTATATTTGGTGGAATTGGAGAATGGTGGTAAGGTATATGCCTAGATTGTAGGTGGAGAGGTGGAGGAGCACTCACGTCTCTGGCACTGCAGTGAAGATTTCATCTTCTTCTCGTTGGAGCTCTTCGTCGGTCTTGGGGTTTGCTAGCTCTTCTGGTGTCTGTTGCGGTAGCCATGAGGCTACGAGCCGTTGACTGCGCGATAGAGCAATATTGGCCCGGTTAAGGATCACATCAGACTCGCTTTTAGAGAGCGACATATTGGTTTCTTTGCGCTCAATGTCGGGTTATTGGCGGATTCGAATCGGTCTTTTGTGGTTGGGATCTGCGATGCCTTTTTTTCTGCCGATATAGCGGTGGCGGTGAGCATGATCTATAGACTGACCTGCATATGTAAGTAACTATACGTACCGGATTCTCCCTGGCGTGTGGAGCTTTCCTATTTGATCTGCCGCCACTTTCATGAGGGTGCTCAGACTCAGGCTCACTGAGTAGATGTCACCACGGACTCGGATCAGTGATCATGCTTAGTTCAGTCACGTGTAGAATGACTGTTGCAGCCTACCGCAGACTATACCCAGAAGGGATTAGCCCCCACAGGGTCGTTTATACTGTGATAGTTAGTTCGTTGATAGCATTGCTACTGCCCTCAATTTGTGAAATGCTACCGACACGCGAAAATCGCTACCGTCACGTTGCCCGCCATACTACTTTAGGTAAGTCTGCCATCTCTTTATCTTCCGCTTAAGTCGGCTTCTCGGGAGAAACGACATGACTTCGGGGAGCATGCCACTGAGTCTCAGGGAGAAAGAAGAAAACTGATAACATTCCAACGACGGTAAATGGCAGATGAATGATGAACAAATATCTCCAGCCAAGGCTCTCGGCTATTACGCCACCCAGGATCGAGACTAGAGATATAATGCAGGTCCATGTCATCACTAACAGACCAGTCCGGAGAGATCGCTGGTGAACGAAACACCTTTTATTCTCCCAGTCAGCGTTGTAAGACGTAGGCAGGAGGTTAAATTGACACACATATCTCCCATGACTGCAACAGTAAAACTCCCAAAGACCGCGGAGCTAAACCCTTGGATAATTCGCCCTGCTAATATAACATTGTAGTTATCGCTGGTTGTGCAACATACAAGGGTTCCAATGAATCCCATGATGGTAGCGAAGATAAATTGTGGCCGTTTGCCGTATTTATGTGCCAGAGCAGATCCAATTGGTCTAATCATATATTAGCTCAACGCCCGTATCAAGACATATATGAGACATACCCGTAACAAGCACACGCAAGCAATTGATATGCGGTAAGCATTGTGATATCTTCAATAGATCGCTGCACAGCGTGCGACATCAAGACCATAGATGGAGCAATCAGGGGCGGCGGAATGGAAGAGAAAATAATCGAATTGGCGAATAAGACACAATATATCAAATTCTTCCTCCATCGTGGCTAATTCTATGCGGGGTTTGAGATTCCTCGCTCCATTACATCACAGGGTACCACCTACCAGAGGATCGTTTGGGCTGTTGGAGGGCTGGGGAATTAAGACAACGCTTGCATGCTACTCTTAGGATATTTTCTTCGTTTTGCCGGTTATCCCTTCTGTAATTACCTTTCCAGTGCCAAACTTTGTCTGGGAGGAGACATGTGTGGATGATTCATCGAATAGTAGAAACGTTCCAGGTGCATGGCGCTCATTCAGTTGAATGATACCCAAAGCCATTTTGTATGATATCCGATAGAGAGGCTCAAGTTATATTTGATGTAAAGGTTTGATTCACAGATTAGAAGATTAGAACCTTTTTTTCGCCCCTGCCTCTCTCAGGGGACGCTCTTTTATATCCTCACGCCCCCATCAAAGTTTTCCTGGGGAAACTATGGCGGGGAACTTCGGCGTCTGCCCAGATATTGAGCTTGAATTTATCTCATATTACTAGTACCAAAACAGATCATGAACCACTGTCAGTCAAAGTCGGATCTATACACCACATAAGGTTAATGCCAAGCACACGAGGAAATAGTCGAGACCCACTATATAACTTCACCTCCCGCGAAGCCCTGGACTTTCCTATTCAGGTAGTGCGAATAACCTGGGGATTGTGACTTGTTGTCACCATTGTGCCGGAGATAGGCATACCTCGCAGATATTCAAGGTGTTACCTTGGGACAAAACAACAACCGGTGCCCTCCAGGGCTGCCTACCTAGGTACCCGTGGACGAATGGAGACCTCACTAACCGGGATGGACCCTGTAGGAGTAGATCAGCGCCGGAGTGTTGTGAAGGGATATTGATCAAGTTGACTCCGGTCCGGTTGGTTGATAAAAGTTGGGTGTTGCATCCAAAACGTTTGTGGGCTTAACAGGTTGGAGCTGGAGAAATTTGGAAGGTTATCCATGGATGTTATTGTTCCACGGTTAACACCTGTTAACACCCAAGACATTAGGCAATAATCCGTAATACTTCTCTATCATCTCCACGCCCTTCTTTTCTCTCTGCTAAGCACTTGAATTTAACAACCCGCTTGTTTATCAACTTCACCAGAGCGTTTTCATTTCTTCTGAATCTTGAAGCTACTCAACCTTTCGTCTCCTTTCCCTTGTCGCAATGTCTCGCTCTAGGGGCTTCGTCGTAACGATCCCCTCGATAAACTTCGATCACCTGGGCGGCACTGAAATCAAACTCGACCAGCCTTCCCTCTCGCCCCCTCGTACGTTCGTTATTGGCGAGAAAATATCCGAAGATTACCAAACGATGACCCAGGAGGAATATGAGCGACAACCGGGGCCTCCGTTTGCCGTAATTAAGTTCTCTTGTCACAGCCTTCTAGACCCTACTCAGCAGGGCTTCATGCGGATCTATATGCAGATCCCTCTTGATGGTACCTTTTCTAGCGTTCCAGAAGTCCGAGCCCAGCAGGCTGTAAGCCAGTGCACCCACACGGAGCTTAAAGCGCTTGTATCTCTTGATCGCGAAAACTGCATGGCAGTACCGAAATTGCTTGGCTATGGGGAAGGGTTGCAAGGTGTCGAAGAATTTGTACCTGGTGGTTACATCAACTACGTTGCGTGGGAAGGGGTGCCTGGTGAGCCCGTTGACTACTATACTTTCTGGAAACGCGACTTTGAATACCGCCAGTGACTACGTTCCGCCTTTCCTACTGCCTATGAGTAAGATCATAACCCCTACACGTCCAAAACTTCGAGAACTATCTATACTAATACAACGAAGAGAACTTAGTAGGTGTTCTTGGCAACCTGGACTTACCCCTCCGAGCAAGATTATCTACGATGATGTGACCAAGGTTATGTAGGTAGTTCCGACATTCTATTCAACTAACCAATCTATGAATGCCGATGGCGATGAGTTAATCACTTTTAGGCACATTTCCGGATTCCGAGGAGCCTATCCAATGGACACTGAGCCGTTCTAAGACGAGACCTACGTGTTATGGGGATTGGAAAAGCCATCTGACAGGCTGGATTGGTATACTGATAGCTCGGACTGGACCTGGTGACCAATGTGGATCTCCGTACATCGCTTCTTTGACAGTCGAATGGCCTTTCGCATATGGGATTGTATTCTTGAGTTGTTCATGATACCCAGCTACCCTAGTATGCATGTATCTGTCGCTGAACTAGTGCTTTCAATAAGACAATTGTAGTGCCTTTCCGCTAAAGATAGCCCTTGATACTATGGGAGACTTACAACACCTTAGAATCATTCAGCATAAATGATCAGATGAAATTTCCGAAGCTACTCTTTGACACTCTTTGACAACGTAATATCGTCGTCCTGTAACTCGCAAGTTGCAAGTTTCCCTCAGAAATCCAATCTGATATCAGTATTCAACATGGGTCCTTCATGCATAATGCCCCGACAAAGCTGTAGCCTCGATGCTATCAGCTTCATTAGGAATAAACTCTCGGCTTTAGTTTAATCATCAGCTTTGGCTTGTTCCATAGCACATAACATTCTTGATCCACCCAGTCCTTTTCAGGCTGGTCCAATTCCATATCGAAGTTGAAGACCATGCGAGCAAGAATGATACGCATTTCGACATATGCCAGACTAGACATATATATGAGCAAAAAGCGAATACAGTAGAGACACTAAAAACTTACTTGCGTCCAATGCAGTTCCTAGGACCGAAACTGAACGGTTGCATTGCAATTTTACTGTCATTCGAGAAACGAGGGTCGTCCAAATGCCGCTCTGGGATAAACTGCTCTGCATCGGCAAAGTTGGCAGGGGAGTGACTGGCAGCGAGATGGGAGACGGAAACAACGGTCTATAAAAGGCGTAAGAGGTGCTGTATGCTGTATGGCTTTTTAAGCAAGCTTTGTACTTACCCCGCCTGGAATCCAGTTCCCAGCAATCATATCACCCTGGGCATCAACAATACGAGGTAATCCAACTGCAACGGGTGGATACAATCGAAGAGTCTCAGTGAGGACGGCCACACAATACTCTAGTTTATTGCAGGATTCCAAGGTGATGTCTTCTTCTTTTGCAAATGTTGATCTGATCTCATCTTGAAGCTTTGCCAGAACGCGTGGATTTCTCAGCAGCAGATACGTCACCCCAGAGAGCACAGTTGCAGTGGTCTCGGAGCCGGCGATGATCAACGTACTGCCATTGGTGATCATTTCTGGGATGCTGAATCCTTTCTCGGTATTTCGATACCTCAAAATGTTGCCAAAGAAATCAGGTCTCTCATTAGACTTGGCTATGCGACTCTGGACTTTTTCCTCAGTCAAGGCTAGGTGTGTATTCCTCTGCGAGAGGACATACTTAGGAGTGATGTATGGGAGGATGTATTTCGATCCCGGGAAGCGTCGAGACACATTTGCGTAGGCACCATACTTGAGCGAACTGAAGATAATGGATACCCATTGGTGGTAATCCGAATTCTTGAGACAGTCGAAAGGCTCACCGAAAGCCAGGTCTCCAATAATATCAAAGGTTGTGAAGTTATACCAGGCCACCATGTCCACGGTATTTGTGCCACTATCGATATTCTCATGCAAGCGCTGCATCAAAAGATCAACATAGCCTTTAATTATAGGTTCCTGGCCGCGCAGTGAGCTATCGGAGAATGCGTGCGACAATAGACGTCGAAAGCGGGAATGGTCGGCGTCATTGGAGATGATGATACTGGGAGCTTCTCCAGCGGTTGGTGCATAGAATCGATCATCTTTAGACTTCTGACCATGGCCAACACGTGTGCCATAGATTGACTTCCAGGCCGCGCCGTCTATGAAAGAAAGTTCATCGGGGGCAATGCGAACTACATCGCCGTACTGTTGATGCAATGCTTTCATCTTTTGTGGGAACCGGCCACCTAGGATCATGCGAATATAAGGCAGACGTGTAGCTGCCATAGATTTAGGTCCAGGATATTTGGACAAAGGGTGGAAGTAGACATTATAGGCCAGGAGACCGATGAGGTAAAGTGGGATCTATTTAGAAGTAAGCCCTTAGTTAGCCGAATTCCATCGAAACAACCTGAAAGACCAGCGTATACTTACCAACGTCAGGCTTAGCTTCAGCAAAGCGGGAGCTATATTTGAGAAGTCTTGCATGTTTAAAAGTGCCGAAAGACCAGGAATAACCGCTATGATTAGGGCTGTCAAGCATAAGATTCGAGAATATTCACAACATCCACGACATTTCGAGAGTACTTATACTCCTCCTTTCCTCCTTGCCACTCTCACATGTGTGACATAAAAACTTAATGCACAAAATCTCTGCATTATGATGATCTATGAACTGAGACCCCGCACTCTGCATAGCACGATTCTAGCCCAACAAGAGGCCTGGGAATATGTACATGGCCCAGCTTGGTTTCAATCTAAATAGATATTAGGAGAGACTTGTTGTCCTTTGAATCCGAGAATCTCTTCCCACCCATCCCTTATAAATAAATTAGGACTGGGTATTCACCTAGATGCTTTCAACACACAGTCCAGACATTTTGAATAAGGATCGAATGTTGAAGTCTCATATAATAGACACACCGTCATTGGAGAAGCTAGTGTTCCAAGCTAATGTAGCCAAGCTCATGAAAACCTTCCCTGGGTTGGTCGCGGCCCATGAATAAATCTTGATGTAATGCCCATACAAAGGGTACAAAATCCGTGACATCCATTTCACTCAGCCCATAAATAAGACTAATATGTAATTTAAGCACAGTTAGGTCGTTCTATCACTAATGTATTCTAAGCAACCTTGAAATTAGTATCGAAGTGCGAGAGGCACCTTAAAAATACCATATATAGAGATTGCATAGCACCTCAAAGTAGTATGCTTAATACTTATCAATATTGATACCAAAATACACAAAGTCTATTTGCATATGTATACAAGAGCTATATTTTTTATGAATCTCTTATCCTTTGTATGAGCATGACATAAAAGATTTATGCTTGTACTAGCAATCCATGTATGTATCTTTTTTATGCCGAGAGTAAATATAATTCTGCGCAGGAAATGCAGCATAAAGGCCGTGTTTACTGGGCAATCCGAAGAGCCACAGACTACGATATCCACATTGAACAATAGGCTATGTTAATCGGAGACCTTCTCAAATGGCCAAATTTACTCTGAGAAAGCTGGGCTAACCAGAGACCAAAAGTCTTGTTACTATCATGATAATTACAAATATGTGTGTATGCGTTGTAGTACATGTCGTCTCTATGTGTGCCCTCTGCATCCATGTGGCAATCCATACATTTTCAGTGGGAGACAATCATTTGCACGGAGGACATCTTGCAGCATTTCTAAATCGGTTTGAGGAAACATTTGCGAGCCCCAAGAAATGAATTATATTCCTCTGTGGAGTCGAAGCTTGTCCTTCCCTGGTGAGGAAGCATCTTAAAAAGGCAGTGAGAAAGGCCTGCAGGAATTCCAAGGTTAGCTTATGAATTGAATACTCGAAATAATATAATGGCCTCATTCAAGACTCTGTGTGTTTTGAATCAAGTCCTTAGAATCTTCATTTTCTGTGCTTTTAGTTGGATTTTGACTCACGAATCCAAGATAATGCCATCCTCCTGTTTCAGCTGACCATGGTTTCATATCAGGTAATAACTGACTGTCATTAAGTATGATGTGGGTGAATTGCTCTAAGCTGGGGGGTCCATTTAACAAAATTCTCAGTAAAGCCTGTTCACAGCAATACATGATATTTCCATTAGGAGAAGGAGGAGTGTACAGGCGCAGAACGCAAAAAGTAGTATGATCCGAGTCTTTCATGAGCTACTTGTCGTGATGACATTTTACTGAACACAGAGCCCGACAAGACACTCTGGTAGAAGCATCAATCGCATTCTCCAAGATAATTCGAGGAACCTGTGCGGTATTACCGGTGTCACACTCTCCATCAATAATGAATGCTGCAGGTATTGCTGTTAATGATACCGAAATTTGCTTGGTGAAACGTCTCACGGGCAATTCAAGTTTTTCCCTTTCGAATTATCAAAATACTAATGATCCTCAGGGTCATATAAGGATTACACTAATTATATCAATGTCTATACTACAATAGTCTGAATAATCTCTTCAACAAGGTATAAAAACGTTATGGCATCATTTATGTACAGTCTATCTCTATACCTGATACTGTGTCTGATCTAGACACAGATCCCCATTTTGTTCCAATGTAGTATGACACGGGGTATAAAAAACCGAGAAGCAACCAAAATCAGCCGCAAGGGCTCACACTGTAGCTAGACCCTCATGTTGACGTTTCACCCGCAACCTTTTCTCGGTTTTCATGAACTCCCGAATACCAACAGGGATATTGGAAAACAGGTCATCGTGTTCAGACGGCAGTGTCCAGTTTGTTTCGCTGCCACCGCCATCATCATCCATGCTTCCACTGGCTGCGCGGACTTCCGCCCGAGGTGCCCAGCGCATGTCCCGTGTTCCTTTCTCAGGCCCACCTTTAGCTTTAGCCATTGTGATCCTGGATGCCCAGTCTTCCATCTCATCCCGGAAGTCATCCCAGACACAGTGAACGCAGCCACTCATGCAGCAGTTGTCCGGTTCCTCGGGTTGGGGAGGAATGGGGACTCCGTTTATAGTTTTCCACATTGACTCTGGAGGAGCTTCACCAGGATTGTAGCGCGAGGTTCGGCCTGGACCGGTGAGAGGGCTGCCAAAAACGATCGCCATTCTTTCTTGGGGCGATTGCGGTGCGACAGTAGATGCCGGCGTCGGTTTGGCCTCGGGCCGAGTGGGTGTCGGGCGTGATGTCGGTGCACCACCAGCGTATGGCGAGTTCGATTTCAATATCAATGAATAGTATCCTGACAGAGGGTAGGCCTGAAGAGGCTCTGCAGTTTCCTCTAGGGAAGCTGGGGTATTGGGTTGGTCGGATTGGCTGTGTCCGTTCATGCGCCGGGGAGTCGGAACCAGCACATATTGTCGATATGAAGCGAATGAAGGATCCGTTCCAACAGGGAAAGAGCGGATTTGAGACACGGAGCTCCGCAGCCAGTGTCTTGTACCCGTCAAGAGACACTCCATAGTGTGAGTTGGAGAAAGACAAGAATGTTCGTGCATTGACGAAGGGAAATTAGGTCATAATGCAAACACTGCAAACAATTCACGATTGTTTATCTTTCTGAGGTCATCATCTGCGCGCCGGGCCAGACGAACACCCCACGCAGCAATGGATTCCTTAGCAAAAAAGCGAAAAACCAACGAGACTACAGGCATTCCTGTAGCGCCAGAGATTCCTCAAAATGAAGCCCATCGGTCGAGACGGCCCTCCTTCCAGTCTCCAACGAGGGCCAGTCTTGCACGATCACATCCCGATTTATTAGAGCGCGCAATTAGCAGATCTCCTGTCCGACGACCAGCAAGCAGAGACAGTGGGCAACAAGATCCTCGAAAATTTGGATTACGCGATCGCAAAGCACTCCGACCTTCGCTCAATGCCTCCGCAAGTCCCCTCACTCGACCTCGAGGCTCTGAAGCGCCCGAAAGTTCCCCCAGCAGGCGCTCAAGTGGCGTTCAAGCGTTCTCAAAACCCCCGCGCAGGATTTCAAGGAGGATTTTCCCAGGAGATTTAGTATTTGGATCCCCAATGCCACAGCCAAAGAATCCCGAATCAAATACCCCCGAGCGTCAATTGGCATTGGAATTGGGTAGCGCCACAAGAGAAGCATATATGGATATGGATCCGGACTCCGGTTTCATGGATGAAGATATCCTCGAACCCGATCTTCCCCCCACGCCCACACAATTAGGTCTAGAAAAGGCCCCAGATCGACCCAGGGGAATGTTGAGTAGCAGCCCCAGTAGGCGACAGGAGAAACGAGCGAAACGAAGAACTATCAATGCTTTGTACGAAAGCCCACTTAAGGCAGTGAACTTCCAATCCCCTCCGCTGGAGGACCTGGAGACAGCTTCAGACTTGGGTGAAGTTTCAGCAGCTGTTCGCGAGAAACGCAATTCGCGCGAGAAGAGCGCTGCAGATCTGCGACGGCTGAGAAGCGAAGTTGAAAAACTGGAACAATGGGCACACAAAATCGAGTCTAATCCTGACTCGGACGGCGACACGAGAGGACTCGACGAATTTCTGTAGGTTCCACAAGCAAACTCGGCTTGGATACTGCTGACAATCTCTAGGTCTTTACTCACATCCGAAGAGGCGAATCGTACAAGTCTCCCAGTACCAAAAACAGCCCCTAAATCGGTATCATCCCTCCTCGCCACTCTACTCCCGTTCTCCGCCAATATCCCTCGCCCAAAACGGAAATTATCATCGCTGCCGACGAATCCATTTGCCCTGCAAGAAGCCTCTCAATCACTGCCATACCTAACAGCCTTCGCGCCCTTGACCCTCAAAACCCGTACAACTCGGTCATCACGTAGGGAGGAGCTGTTCGAAACACACACACTGACCTTTTCTCCTCCATCTCCGTTCCCAGCAAGTCTATATCATGTGACTGTTGTCTATGAGACGAACCTCGAGACCCAGTCTTTGATTTCTCTGTCAGTGCCTGCTGGCAGTGACAGCAAGAAAAGAAAAGTCCCCGAAGCTCTCCGTCGATGGATCAATACTCGCTTAGAGAACCCTCTTTTGAAACTTGACGTGGCAACTCTATGCTGGGGAATAAACCGTTACTGGGAATCTGCAATTACTCGCGCTCGTTTGTGGGCACACATTGACCATGAGTATGGCCCTCGGGTCTCTCAGGGTAGAAAGGATACTGCCTCGGAAAGCAAGAACGGCCTCATCAGACTTTCTGAACTGCGACGACTGGTCCCGCATTTAGATCGGAGCGCGATGGTCATCAGCCCTAAATCCCCTGACTCCAGTCTCCGAGTGCTTTTGTCAAATACTTTGGTGTTGGATGAATGGACCGGAGAGCCTCAGCTGCGGCCTGAGATTAGCGTGTCGATCCCCGGGGTAGATAAGAAGATCGATCAGGAGGCCAAGAAGCTTTTCCATGCGTTGCTACGTGAGGATGGCGCTTTGGTCACGCGAGGTATCGAGGGTGGTATACATGTTGATGCGGTGGTAAGGGCGACTGAAGGTGCTCTTGGTGCTTTGTTCGGTGGTCTTTGATTTTTTTTTTGGTATTCCGGTGCGATTGTCAGCGTCAGGTGTTGGAGTGATCTCAAGATACCCGAGCAGAGCTCACGTGTTCCTCTAAAGTATGAGATAATGAATTTTCTGTCTTATAAACGAGCTGAATTAGCTATGTAATCAGTCACTGATTGTATTGCGGCACGTTCATAGATGCAGTAATTGATTGACATGCTATAATTCCCATCCGAATAGGCATCTAGGAAACTTAAATCGATATCGAAGCTACAAAGTATATAGTGAAATCAACTACAAGGGTTCAATGTTCTTCTCGCCGGAAGCTCAAGATACAACGCCTAGACAACCACAAAATTATGAGATGTACAGGCACAAAGCCGAGATTGAGAGAATTGGGCAGTTTTGAATTTCGAGAGATCTTCCGAGTTCTTTCTTTTAGAGACAAAAAGGAGTAAAAGTTGGGGAGGGAGAGAGGGAATCAAGGAAGAGGCGTAACGCCATGCCACAGTACACTAATCCCCGATTCGAAAACCGACCCGATCATCATCATCAGCACGAGGAGGGAATTAACACATTTATTTCTTGGCATTGGCCTCATCATCAGCCTTGGTCTTGGCACGCTTCTCGCGCATACCCTTGTAGCGGGCCTCAGCGCGGGCGTCACGGAGACGACGGTAGGCAGCCTCCTCGCCCTTGGGGAGGGAGTCGCGCTTGACCTCGGTAACGGCCTCAGCAGCGGTGGGGTTGGTGATGGGGAAGGTGGCCTCAACACGGGTGGCGATGCCGTCACGCTTGCCCTCAGCGACGGTGGCCTTGACGGCCTTGACGTCCTCAGCGGAGGAGTCAAGCTTCTTGAACTGACCGCTCTTGCGGGGGAAGAGGATCAGGCGAGCCTTGTAGTCCTGGAGACGGGCGACATTGGCAACCAGAGACTCCTTAGAGTAGTTGGTGCGGCGGTGGTCAACGGAGATACCGACGGTGGGAGCAAGCTTCTTGGGGATACCAGCTTCCTATAAAGCGCAAAAAGAAACATGAGTCAGCAAGTTGTTTCTCCGTAACACCTCCACCTTCGACGCGGCTCATTTTACCTTCAGCTCAGCGAGGGTGAAACCACGACCGGCACGGACACGGCGGTTGTACTTGATGGTGGGGCATCGGACAACGGGACGCAGCTTGTCGACCGGACGGGGAGCAACAGCAGCCGCCTTAGCGATGCGGGCCTCACGACGACGGTGCTTCCGGCCGGGCTGTGCGATTCATGTTAGTCGGCCAAATTCATATCCTGCAAAGAGAAAAATTTCCTCGATTCCAAGTCGCTTGCGATATCGTTCGGAATAAGAGAATTCTCTGGTCGGGGGGAGGGATGTTGGATAGTCGTACCTGGTCGAAGTGCACACGGACACGACGCTGCCAGTCCTTGTGGAAGTCTATTCAAGAATTCGTTAATCACTGTTCCTTCAACGTCTGGTCTCCCCAAGCCTCTCTGTCCGTTTGAAGCGACACATAGAGTTGCAAAAGCGACGGGTCACTCACGGTTCTTCTGAATCTGGTTGTTGTGCTTGATCGCCTATATATCCCACACACAATCGGTCAGTCAACCATTTCTTTCGTTCTTTTCGAGGCGTATTTCAATCCATCGATTTCTCTCAATCGCACAAGTCGAATCCTTCATTGTATCTCTCAAGCAGGGATAGGGAACGCACCATGGTGACGGATGGGGATCGAGCCGGGTGGTGGTCGTCGAGGGTTGCTGGTCAAATCCTCTTCACGGCAGAAAATGAAGTTCCCATTTTTCGTGTGGCCGCCCGCTGACTGGCACACCGCCTCGCTTAGCGAGCCCTAACCAAGCCGAATTCGGTAATCTGCCAGAGCTATTTTTTATTTTTTATTTTTCATTTCTATGCTTGTCTGCGACGATATCAAGCATGGAATTATTCAATGAGATCATGCTTGAACTTCAGTATATTGTTTCAATGTTGTAATTCGATTTTGGTCTCTGAAGACTCTATACCTATTGTACAATGGTTGTACCGTCCCAAATTCATATCCCCAAATTCCCGTCTATAGCTACCCTAAGCCATAATTCCCATACCGAAAAGACAATTGAATAACGCCACATGTGAAGGGCCATGGATCACTGTCGCATGGCCACCCAAATTCCCCCTCCCCCCCAAAAAAAAAAAAAAACAGTTCGCTACTTGGAAACACCATATTTGGCATGTCTTCATCATTCGTGAGGTTCCCATAATCGTAACAAGCAAAGCAACGCTAGGCCATGAATCATATCAAAGTCAGTGGCACGAGTTCTTCAAGTAGCCACGGGATATGGACTCAAGCATTGATGCCCAGGCCAATACCATTCGTAGTCCTGGACTTCTTCGTGGCAGCAACGTTCGCGTCACTGCCTGCCTTGCGCTTGCCAGCACGAGATCGATCCACACCAGGTTTCTGTACCTGTCCAAACAACTTTGTCTGGAGCAGTGTGCTGCTCTTGGGGACAGTGGAGCGCATGTGCTGCGGGGAGGTCCGAGCTTCCTCTGCAGCCTCGGAGGCTGAAAGGGATACGGTGCTGTCGCTATCATAGTGATCCTCTCTTGGGTGCCCAGCTGGAGTGATGTACTGGTTCTTCGAGTGGTTCGGGGTGACGGGGACAGAGGTTGCAGAGTGACTACCATAAGCGTGCGTCTGGTTGGTGAGTTTATCGGCATAGAGAAGAGCGGCGAGACCATCTGCGTGTTCACCATGACAGAGATTGTGTATATCATTCTGAGTGCCCGGTGACATGCTGCCGTAGTTGAAGATCTGAGAAAAGTGCTTGCGATTGTCACCAATGCGGCGCTTCAGCATAAGGTTCTGCTCCTCGAGGTCTATAGACCGACTGGTAGCTTCATCAATGGCACGCTTCGCCTTTCGAAGTCTTCGGTCTAGAACGGTATTGAGTTCTTCTAATTCCTGCGAGCGTTGAACAGCCGAAAGATAATCAAAGTTTAAGGCAGACTGGGACTGGTTGGGCGTAATGGGATCTGCAGGGTGCGAGCGACTGCGGTACTCGGCGCTCTGAATAATTTCGACTTCGCGCTTGGCGAGCTGATGCTCCACCTCGGCACGCTTGACAGCTTCATTGCTTGCGAAAGAGACCAAGCTGTTCTGCAGTTTGAAGTGCAGCGCAGACATGCGCGACTCTCGGGCTACGGTTAAAAGTTCCTTGGCAATAGTGCGCAGTTGTGTTTCGCTGGCGTTGTCGATATCCTCCATGGTGGGCAGGTTCTCAGAGGCCCCGTAGGCATCGCACAACGACTTATCCAGATCAGTGGGCTTCACCAACAAAGGGCTCAAGGAGCGCGAGTGTGAGCGAGAACGAAGCGGGGCCCCTGGGATCTGAGATGAGGGTGGAGGGGTCATATCGGATGACGACAATGGTGGAGGTGAGAGGAACTTCTTATCCGACTGGGACGATGGGCGCTTAGCCATGACGCTGAGCTCCGGCGATGGGGACAGAGTGACCCGGTGGGCTGGAGTCGAGGGCACGATCTCCGCAGGTGCACCCAGGGAACTTTGGGAGTTGAAGTTTTGAGACATGATGGACGTGTGGTTATAAGTGAGCTGACACAATAGTATATCACTTCGATAAGACCACGAGGGTTTAGCCGTGGGGAGACGGGTCCTCACACTAATTTCTTATCAGCCTCTTTATCGTAGAACAGATCATGGACGAACAAAGGAATTATCTACATACCGAAGACAGATAACTATCAGTCAGGACTTGGGTTCGGTCGATCACACAGATGCTCAGACCAGGTATGTTGTCTCAGGAACCAACAGAAGATGGGGGATCTGGGGGTGGAGCAAGGGGAATTTCAATTTCGAGCTAAGACGACAATGACTCGGAGAACTTGAAGAAGAATGAAAGAAGGGAGAATAATGGAGTTGAGTGAGACCTTAAGAGGAAGAGGTTAACTCCAGCGTTATTGGGAGGGGCTGGGAGGCTGGGAACGGGAGAGTCTCAAGGTACCCGCTTTGGGTTAGTCCATCTCCCAGCCCCGATCAATTATCTAAGAATATAGGCCAATCAGAGGTGAGTATACAGTTCGGCCAAGCCTATTTAGGTTAGATTGGCGATCACGGGACGCTCAGGGCAAGTAAACACCCGCGACCGGGCAAGCGCTGGGGGTTGGGTAGGCAACCGATAAGCATCAAGATCTGTACGGAGTATATGTATATATGATATCATGGAGATGTTTTGATCTTGATGCTTTGTCTATCGGAGGCTTGAGATGTTCTGGGAGAAATTTCGGGTTCTTGCATAACATTAGAAGATAAAACAACCCAAGTATTACAACTCTTCGAACCGATGAAACTTGAGATTGCATATAACAATCAATTACACCGTAGCTAGTTAGAAGAAAGCACCATGTTATGTCAGAGAAATCAGACAAGAAGACGCAAGGGCATCTCTTAGCAGTTGGTACCAGCTCTTCGGTGGCAAAAGTAAGGGTCTGGTCTTTGTAATCTCTACTAATATCTGCTACCAAATGAATATTGAGTATCGGAAGAGCATTATGCCCAAAATATAATTGTTTAAGCATGAAGTTGCGCTGGAGAACTATTTGTTTGTAGGTGACAGCTCTTTGATATATATCCGACACCATAGGCCACGGGTCAAATAACCGCCAAATTACAATGAATCCATGGTATTCCATACTTGAAGAATAGATCTGGATATGATTGTAGCAATGCATGACTTAGAATGATGCATATTTGTTTTATATCTGCTTAGTACCAAATATTTCATGGATCGGGACTAAATCGGTCGATGCCTGAGGCGACGATCGCGGGATTGTGAGACCTTAGAAATGTAAACAATCCGCTTCGTCCGAAAGGTTTCTAAACCTCTAGTTCTTTATTCCTTTGCGTCCAAGACAACGATTTTGATAGGACTGAAACTGCTACTGCGACTTTTCCCCACCCTCCACATTCTTTGTCCCGCTTCTTATCGTCGGGCACGAGCGTCCGAATTTCTA